TGCAGGTTGTACACACACACACACACACACACACACACACACACACACACACACAGCATCTCCCAGGGCTGGGCTGGTCCTCCTTCGATGCAGGTTGTACACACACACCTACACACACTAGGCCTGCCTGTTTACTCAGTTCTGTACTCCAGTCTTTCAGGTGATTCCATGAGCTCTGTAACAGCCTTCCAACACCCCACCCCACCCCCAGCAAATCCCTTCTCTTTCTTAAACCAGCACCATGGTTTCTGTTGCCTGAAACCAAGAACTCTGACAAGGTTAGCAAAGATATGAGTGTTTGGCTCAAGTTGTCAAGGGCACTACACACAATCGGATTGTACACTGGTCGGTCCTCCAAGTAGCAAGGCTGCTCAGTCATCTTTGTAACCCCAGCACTGAGTCCCAGAAGAATACACATTAAATAAGCAAGTGAACTGTGGTCAAGAGCCACAGTTCACCAGAGTTAAAGTTTATCTTTAAGTTAGGGATACTCTCCTGAGGGAGCACAGCCATCTCTATGGAAGACACGACTCCAGGCCCTGATCCAAGTCTCAAGACCAGGACCACTCAGATCCGGGGGAAAAGACAGACACACAGCATTTCACAGAACTGTGGGACAAGTCCTGTGACAAAGGTATGCACAGTCTGGAAAACAGCTAGTCCTCAACTAAAAAAGCACCCTTTTTTAGGCTTCCTACAAGATGCTCGAGGTCGGTGGGAAAGGGCAGCCAGTGGAGGGCTGCGAACCCGGATGGTAGCCCAAGGGTCCCGGCAGGGGTCGCACCTGGCCGGCTCTCCCGGGATCGGGCACAACGGCACTGACCTGCAGGCGCGCCACGCAGCAGAACACGGCCGAGGGGTTTCGCAGGTGAATCCTCTCGGTCAGCAGGTTGCTGCCATAGGCGAAATACAGGAACGTCTCCCCCTCCTGGCCCGCATGGTCCTCACAGCCGGAGCTCGCCATGTCTGCTTGTCCACGCCAGCAGCGCCGAGCGAGCACTGGAGAGCGGGCCAGCGCCGCGGCAGGAGCAGCGCGCCGGCACCCACGCGCCAGCGCAGAGTGGCTGCCGTCTTGCTGGCGTGGGCCGACTACTGTGATTGGTCCGTCTGCACCGTCCCCCGCCCACTGAGGCCGCCTTCCCATTGGATGCACTCCTCGGATGTCCGGCCCCCTGCCTGAGGCTACGCTGATTGGCGGACCTAACGGGCAGCGCTTCCGTCTTCTCCCCGCCTGGCAGCCCTTGGTTTGCTCGCTCGGTAGGCTCCGTGCTCGCCGCAGGTAAGACAAGGCCTCACGCTGCTGTCCGGCCTAGCCTGGAACTCGCGGCAGTCCTCCTGCCTCAGCCTCCCCCGGAGCGGGGACCACTGGCAAGTCCAACAAGTTTTCTGCTCTGGATGCCTGGGGCGCCCTTTCCCGGGTTCGACATGGCATCCGTTAGACACTTGACTCTGTTCATCTTTGCTCGCTGTTTTCTCTTTTTAAAAACGAATCGCACAAAACCTTTGTGTTTTTAATGTTGGGATGAAGATAGGAGTGCAAACTGAAGGCCTAGAAAAATGACTACCATTGGCCCTCAGATATTGATCTAAATACAACTATACACGGACAAGTGCCAAACGTTTGAAGCCAGGTCAAAACTAGGAAATGAGCAATACCTCTTAGAAGAACATGCTCCAGAAAGGGAGACTCCCAATACAAACAAGGTCATTCCTAAAAGACTGCCCACTAGACAAAATGAGAACAATTTGAGCATCAAAACAACTGGAAACTAAAATGATTGTTAGCATTAAATGTGTGTTATTCCCCCCGGGAAGTAGGCCAAATTAAAACAGAAAAGAAAGCTATTTTGCTACGCTATCACTGGTGAACATTTCATCACCTTTGCTCTTAAAAAGTGGTTATTTAAGAAAATAGTGTTTATTTTGTCTTTCTAGTACCGGCTGTATTTTTGAAAAACCTTATAGCATGAGCAGATGAAAAAGCAGTTGTTTGTAAAACCTGTACCAGCTAAATGCAGGAAAGGGGGCAGAACATCACCATTCAGTCTCTGATGAAACAAACCTTGTCAGGAGCTTCAGTGAAACCCCTTGTTGGGAACCACAGGGATGTTTGTAAGGTATCAGTTCCCTCCCCGAAATCACTGTTAGTCTGGGGGAGGGGAGCCAGTACCACTTGTGAGACCTGAACTCTCACCTGATGGCAAGTAAGTCTGGTAACGAATAAAGAAAGAATACCCTGACATGGTCTTCTGATATGAAGTAACACGAAACTCTAGCTTCTGTGAATTACAATTTGCAAAGGTCTTAGACCTCAACATAAGCCTGTTATTTCATCCTGTCTCGGAAACCATTCACATGGAATAAAAAATAGAAACAATCAGGAACACCTAGAACCTATCTCTTAAATTATTGTGGTTAAAAAGAAAAGATAAGGCTGTGCCTCTAAATGGATGGATCATCGGACAAAGGCACTTGCTACCAAGCCTGCAGATATGAGTTAGAGCTCCAGGTCCAATGCCTACGGGTTCCTCTGACCTACCCAACCACATGCACTCACATATACACACAAAATCAGTAGCCATACATGTAACAAAACGTGTTTTCAGAAAGGCAGGACTGAAGGGGAGGGCTGTTCTAGCTTTAGATGATGACTAAATGTGACGATTAGTCTTTGCTTGATTCTGATTTAGTAACTGAAATAGAAATATATCGTAGGACAACTGCACTTGAATTTGGATTGTGGTATTTGTTATTAAATGGATAATGGTTGTGTGCTCATGCAGGAAAATGGGTTTAATATGCATACAGACATTTAGGCTGACATTTGTTATCTATATTTTAAAATAATTCAGAAAAAATACAAGGAGCTAAATGTTAATGGTAACGATTTGTATATGTCACTCATTATACTGTTCTTTTCTTTATATTTGACCATAATCTTAAGAGGGGAAGAAAACAAAAAAAGAAAAGATGGGAGGAAAGAACTTGGCACCAGTGTGCCTTGACAAGCAATGCCGTTGTTGTATAATCTGTAAGTAGGAGATTGCTGTTTTCGCACTCCAACCATCAAGGCAGAACAGGAAATGGACTTGGTCATCTCAGAGAGTGAGTTGCTTGTCAGCACACATTTTCTAAATTATCCCAAGTTCTTAAGGTCTGTGCTTCGGAACACTGCAATTTAAGGCTCTGTTTTAAAGATTTGCTTGTAACCACATAAAATGGGGGTTTGGGTTTTCTTGTTTGTTGTTTTTTGAGACAGTTTTGCAATGTTGTCTAGTGTTGGGGGCCATGTAAGAGGAACAGCAAGCAGCTTTGGAACTCATAGGATATGGCTCAGTGGTCAGCCTTGGAGAGGCAGAGCCCCGAAGACTGTGTGTCCTGAGGACCTCATGCTGTTATTGAGCACAACTCTGCTTATTGCCATAGCAGTCACCATGTTCCTCATAAGAGTTGTATGGAAACTCTCAGGGGGTTTCTAGCCCCTCACTGGGCAGTGTTACTGGTACTTACAATAATAGCGATTGACTTTTTCCAAGCATTGCTCCTGGAGCAGATTAATGATTCAACCACCACCCTTAGAAAGAATTTAGAGATGTAGACTGTTAGTAAAGGTAGGTTAAGATGTTTTTGTTATTGGCTTTGATGTAGAAAATCTTGGGAACAATCTAAGTTTAGAAAGGCACACTTTTAATAGTTGAGCAAGGGACAAGACTATTACTAGCTGACAAGATGTTCTTGCTAGAAATGGCTTGGTGATCAAAGGCAATGATGAATTTCTTGTACCCATTTTTGCCCTCAGCTTCCTGGGATGGTTTAATAAAAAATTGTTGATGAGTGGAAGTGTACTCTGAGGATTTAAAGTATAAATGACTGTTTTTTAAATATATATATAAAAGTTTAGATTTGTGATTCTTTTATAAGATTACCTTTTGAGATAAATAATAAAATGATGGATCCTTTCTTTGTATTTGCAAAATGCAGCCAGCTAGTAAAAGAATTGGCTGAGAACCTTGCCTACACTTTGTTAATCTATAACAAATGTATGTGAGACCTTGGGGATAGTTTGTTTTTCACCTGTAATAAGTAAAATGTTTAATCATAAGGAAAATGAGAAAAATGCTGGGTTTTTTATTTTTTTTCTTGTATTCATTGTAATCATTTAAAAAGTAGAATGCAACCACATTGTAATTTTTATATTGCTTGAAAGATTTTGCTGGGGTAGATAAGCTATATAAAGATATATAGAAGGAAGGAAGTGATATAAGGCGAACAACTGGGCAAAAGAAGGAGGAAAACATCAGGGTAGAAGAATAGAACCCAGAAAGAACAGAGTAGTAGCAACAGGAAGAGAAAAATAAAATGAAGTAAGCTTTGCACCTCAGAAAAGTTCCCGTGTGTCTATGTATCTGTCCAGTAGTTCACCTACTCTGTATCTGACCTGCTGAAGGCAGCAGTCTAGACTGACTTGAAACTCTCCATCTGGCCTTAATATCCTAAGTACTGGGTTTACAATCCAGTTCCAGCAGACCCAACAATTTAATTAATTTAAAGGTTATTTCTTTTCTCTTCCTATACATCTTTCAGATGGCTTAATTTCGTGACTGTTATTTATTCTCCACACTATTTTTTTTTTTTTGTGAAAAAAAATCTGAAGTGAAGCATTAATGTTACCTTGAATTCTGAAAGTCTTGCTTATTTATGTATTTAGCCATCTCATGGAGAATGTGGTGTCCAAAGTAGTATTGGCCAGCAAGGGGCAGTAAGTAGCAGGGTTAGTTCTGGGTTTTGTATTTGTTTTGTCCATTTCAACCAAACCCAAGTTAATACTAGTTAACATTCATCTAACCCTCATGTTAACTGTGAGTCCATGGCCTAAATTCTTTCATTTACTAAGTGACTTATCTCTGCGAAAAGCTCTGTACAGAAGGTACTGTTATTCTGTTGTGGGCATGCAGGCTGTAGTTAGCAAAATGACTGTGGCAGATTCCACCGCTCCTGGATGCTGCCTCCCATACTGCCCACCCTGCAACACTCTAGCTAGAATAGTTATATCTACTTTATAGATATAACGTGTAATGTAATAGGATTCTCTAGATATAATAGTTCATAATAACCACTTCCAGATACACCCTATGTTACAATCAAAGGTGTTTTGAAACAACTTTAGGCTTCAGTCACCTGATGATAATGATAACAAGGCCAGATGCCGTCTTTTAATCCAGTTGTCTTTCAGGTTTTTTGATTGTGTCATAAATTTTTTGAGCTTGCACAAATTCAATTCTCTATATACTAATCTGTGTGACTATACATTAAAGACATAATAAATAGCATATGTCACATACAGGTACTATTTCTTAATTTATTAGCATATGATAAATAAAATACATTATATAATTGCCACAAAATATACAATTAAAAATAAATGAACCCCTCCATCCACCCCAGGTTGAGAAGGAGGCACCATGGAGCTACCCCCACCACGACCTGTCACCCACCTCATTTTTGACATGGATGGACTACTTCTAGACACCGAGCAGCTGTACTCGGTGGTGTTTCAGGAGCTGTGTGGTCGCTACGGGAAGATGTATAGCTGGGAGGTCAAGTCCCTCGTGATGGGGAAGAAGGCTCTGGAAGCCGCACAGATCATCGTCGACTTCCTGCAGCTGCCCCTGTCCAGGGAGGAGCTGGTGGAGGAGAGCCAGGCCAAGCTGGCAGACCTGTTCCCCACGGCTGCCCTCATGCCGGGGGCTGAGAAACTGATCCAGCATCTCCGAAAGCATAGTATTCCCTTTGCCTTGGCCACCAGCTCAGGCTCCTCGTCCTTTGAAATGAAGACCTGCAGGCACAAGGAATTCTTCGGGTTGTTCAACCACATCGTGCTGGGAGATGATCCTGAGGTCAACAGTGGGAAGCCAGCCCCAGACATATTCCTCTCCTGTGCACGGAGGTTCAATCCCACTCCTGCCCCAGACATGTGCCTCGTCTTTGAAGATGCTCCCAATGGAGTGGAGGCAGCTCTCGCAGCTGGGATGCAGGTTGTCATGGTTCCCGATGAAAACCTGAGTCGAGACTTAACAAGAAAGGCCACAGTGGTGCTGCATTCCCTGGAGGACTTCAAGCCTGAGCTGTTTGGTCTGCCTGCCTACGAGTGACAGGAGGCAGCCCTGGTGCTGCCATGGGCTGTGTGACATCCCTGGGGGTTCACATGGCTTCATTGGGGTCACATAGGTGGTGGTGGGGGGCGTCTTGTTCAGGATCCATGCCACTAAGAAGGAAGGGGAAGGCAATGTATGGTACTACCTTGAGCCTGCTTATACATTGCAGCCTTGTGAATGTGGCCATCCCCATCTGTACGCCTCAGCTCTCTCTCTGAAGTATGGTTGGGTCAGTAGATAAGGGAGACGGCTCAGGACACAGCTTGAGTACAGTCATGTAATAAAGTGATGTCTATGAAGGAAATGAACATGCACATACAAACACACAGCATTGTGTGACTTTACCGTGCCAATATATACCATACATATATTAGTATATATGTAAATGCATAATGTTCCAGAATGGAATCGTATTTGTGTTTGTTTCCTTATAATCTTTGTGAATGTTGGCCTTTGGAAATTGTACACACACACACACACACACACACACACACACACACACACACATATGTCATTATATATGTATATGTGTATGTATAGATCCTGTGTGTATGTGTAATAGATCATGTGTATGATAGAACACTCCATTGCCTTCAGGGTGGACATTAATGTTGCAGTACCAACTGATGGGTAAATCCACTCTCTTTCCCCTTCTGACCTTAATGGCAGATTAGCCTAATGATGGATGAGCATCAAGAAATATCCTTTCTCTCCAGCCTTACCATCATCAGATACCTCTCTGACCTTGGACTCCATGCCTGACTGAGCTCCATTTCTAGGAGATCCCTCTGTCTTAGTGTGTGTCTGCATATCTTTTTTATCTACTCCCTCATCTATGTTGGGGTGTTTTCTACCTCAAGGGAAAAAATAGAATTTCATTTTTCTTGATGTAACAAATTTATTTCAACATTGCTGATTACATGTCTGGTCTGCTGTTCATTCCTCTTCAAAAGAGTTCTGATGTTTTGCTAGCACCCTTACAGTGATGATTTAGTTGTGTAATAGTTTAACAAGAGTCATGATTTTACCTTTAAATAAAATATCCTCCAACCATCATAAAATAAGTAAGTGAACTATTTTAACTGTCATATGAATTGTGATATTTATCCATTGGCCAGTTTCAAGGCACTGTAGGTCAAGGTTAAATATATATAGAAGAGAATGGAGAGTTGCATTGCAGGTAATAGCAGATCAAGAATAAATTCCATCTTTAGCTGTCCTTGTCATGCCTTACTAGGTCATCATTAGCTGCACACCAGGAGCTTGTACTAGAAGCCTAAAAAATGACCTTTTTTCCATCACTGGTACTTAAATTTTAGTAAGAGCTGGGATCCAGTTCTTTAAAAAAATTATTTAAATCATGTTTCCATTTTGTGAGAATCAGTTAATTATACTTAAATTCGATGCATATCTTTGAGAGAGATAGGGCCTCTGTTGACCCAGATGGACTTAAGGTGTAAAAGCCAACCAGAGACAGTCACTGTGTAGTAGTTAGTCTCAAGTCAGTGAGGAATAAAGACACAGACAAAGAAGTGAATGAAGCAAAGGCAGGTTATCAAGAAAATTTGAGAAAGCTCCTGAGTGGGAGAGACCCAAAGGAGGATAAAATGGATGATCTGCCTGCATAGAGCCTTTTTTTTTTTTTTGGTTTTTCGAGACAGGGTTTCTCTGTCTAGCTTTGGAGCCTATCCTGGCACTCACTCGAACTCACAGAGATCCGCCAGCCTCTGCCTCCCGAGTGCTGGGGTTAAAGGTGTGCGCCACCAACGCCCGGCACGTGGAGCCTTTTTATAGGACTTGGGGCAGAAGCTAGACAAAGACTGAGGTAATTTCTGTTAAGGTAGTTTAATTCTATAGGTATATTGTAGACCTAGCTAGTGGGGTACCCACCCACTTTGGGCATTACACTCTGGCCCAGCCAAAGGTGTCCACTTGCTGCTTGCCAAATTGGAGGAGTCACATTGAAGCCCCATTCTGTCTCTTTAATTTATTGGTTAGCTGCTGACCCAGGCTCACTTGCTGGTGATACCAACCTTAGCAGGTATGGCTGGTCTCTGACCATGGCAGGAATCTTGCTCCTCTTTGTTCTCAATGTTGAGGTAGCTGCTTTGAAATTTAACTGCCAACCTATTTTTCTTTCCTGCCTACGGAGAGCTACCTGCTGCCTAGAGCACATTTCATCAAGTCCCAAGACAGAAGAGGTGAATGAGTGAGGGTCAACAGTGTTGTTGGCAGCACTTCCCCGAGACAGCACCACTTCCATTGGGATACTTCAGATCTCCTGTGCAGCAGAGATCAGCTGACTGAGGACTGTGTATAAGTTTCTTTACAAATTGATGGGCAATGTCCTTCTGGATGCTGTGAATATGTTTCTCTTATTGGCTGATGAATAAAGCTGTTTCGGCCAGTGGACAGACAGGATGTAGCCAAGCAGGAAGTATTGGCAAAGCTACCAGACTAGGAGAATTCTGGGAAGAAGGAATGCAAAGAGTAAGTCTCAAGGGAGACACCGTGTAGCTGCTGAGGAAGAAAGAGACCCGGGCATCATCAGTAAGCCAAGACCACATGGAGGTACACAGAGTAATGGAAATGGGTTGATAATTTAGAGAGATCTAGCCAATAAGAAGCCTGAGCCACTGGCCAAATAGTTTATATTAATATAAGCGTCTGTGTGTTTATTTGGGACTGAAAGGTCTCAGGACCAAGCAGGTCAGAAACTTCTATCAATAACAAATCACAATAAAGACCAACTATATAGAAGCAAGAATCTTTCTGCTGTTTTAATTTAAATAAGTAAAAATTGAGTTTACTGATTTTCATACTTGAGCAGGCCAGCTTGCTCTTCTACTTTGCCTGCTATTACTATGATCATTTTTTGTTTTTGTTTTAGAAACGGGGTTCTTCTCCATAGTCCGGGAACTCTCTCTGTAGTCCAGGCTGGCCTTGAACTCAGGAGATTTATTTTTTCTCTCTCTCTCTCTCTCTCTCTCTCTCTCTCTCTCTCTCTCTCTCTCTCTCTGTGTGTGTGTGTGTGTGTGTGTGTGTGTGTGTGTACACGTGAATTTGAGTACCTTTGGAGGTCAAAAGAAGGCATCAGATCCCCTGGGGCTAAAGTTGAGGTGGTTGTGAGTGCCCTACATGGGCATTGGGAACTCAGCTGGGGTCCTCTGCAAAAACACTCTGTGCTTTTAACTGTTGAGCCATCTCTCCAACCCAAAGACCTTGTCTTTAAGAACAAACCAGAACAAGTGGAGTGTTTTAGGTAGGGATGTGACCTGAGTTCTATTTCATCTGAGTGATTCTAGATACTGATGGGAGATTCAATAGTTCAGAGACAAAGCAACTACTGCAAAATTTACTGAACTTTGTTTGCATTTTTGTGGTGCAGTAGATTGAATTCAGAGCTTCACGTATGCTAGGAAAGTGCTCTACCACTAACCTGCATTATGACCCAAGTTTTGGCAACCTAAGATGCTACCTTGGACCAGGGTAGAAGGAGTGAAGCTGCAGAGGAAAGGGGCCCGTGTGCGATGCTTTCATATGGTTAAGCAGACCACACCTGCTGGGCAGTTTTCTGAGAATCCATGCTTGGTACACTCTCACTGCAATCATTCTTGATTTTTCTTCTGGAGAAGGAAGTGATGATCAGTGAACTAAGGATCTGGTTTTCCTCCAGTTATTTGAACCAGAATCTAAGTGATTCAGCCTCAACCCTGAGTTGGTGGAGGAGACACAGGGATGAAGAGAGAAAGATGATCATGCAGCAAATAATAGGAAAAAAGATGGCAACCAAAGCAGAGAAGGCAGGTACAGAAAACAGCATGGGCACACTGCAGTGACACCCCAGCTGTCGCTGAGAATAAGCAGGTTCCGCCCTCTAGTTCAAAGACTCTTGTCTTACCCTCAAGCCACACTATTAATGAAATATCGGGTATAAATGTATTTTATTTGAGACATGGTCAAACTTGCTATGTAGCCTAGGCTAGCCTTGAATTTGCAGTCCTCTTGCCTCAGCTTCGCAGATGCTGGGATTACAGGTGTGGGCAGCCACACCAATAGTTCTTACTGTAGTTTGGGAAAGTAGCTCGTTTAATCTCACATCAGTAATTTAGGGTGTGCCTTAAAGACCTCTACCTCCCACAGTTAAGTGCTCTGCTGGGCGGGTCTGCTTTACTTCAAATAATTAGACATGCCACGCACCTGTAATCTCAGCACTCACAGATTGAAACAAAGGGATTATGAGTTCACAGCCCAGGCTACACAGTGAGACCCAATCTCAAATAACAGAAAAATAAGAGGGCTGGAGCGATGGATGGCTCAGCAGTTAAAAAGTACTTGTTGCTTTTCCAGAGAAGTTCAGTTCCCATCATTCCTGTAGGATGGTTCACAAGTACCTGTAACTTCAGCTCCCAGGCATCTGACACCCTCGTCTGGCCTCCTTGGACACCCAATTTCATATAGCATATACTCACACAGAAATACACACAAAAAAATCTTTCAAAAAACAACAACATCTGGTCTTGGAGATCACTCAGTTGGTAGAGTGCTCAAACATGAGAACCTGGTTTTTTGATACCTAGCACCCATAAAAAAAAAAAAAAAAAAAGCAAAACTCCAAGCTAGGAGGCATGCACTGATAAATCTCTGGGACAGCAGAGAAAGATGGATACTGGGAGCTGGCCAAAAAGCCAGCAAGGCCCTGGTCCCAGTGAGTGACTGTGTCTCAGAAAGCAAGGTAGACAACAAGAGAATGACACCCATGGATGACTTCTGGCCTCCTTATGAGAACACACACACAAGCACTCTTCCACACGGAGACACACGTCCCTGCTCCCTCCCCACTCCACATATTAAAAACAAAACAAAACAGTGTAAACATATAAATGGTGTGGAGACCAGAAAAATTGTCAGCATTTCTGTAATGTCCCAGGTTACAGTGTGAAATGAGCATGGGCTTCCCAACACCACAAGGAAGTGGAGTAAGGTATACTGAGAGAGAATTCCATTTGCTGCCTAAAAGCCAGAAGCAGCACCCTCCAAGTCAGCTTCCTCCTTCTCACCCATGAGCCACTAGTGTCCCACTCTGCTTTTCCCTATCTCCTCCTGTCTCTCTGGAGCAGTCCCCAGCCTTTCCCTGTAGGCCAGGAACAGCTTCCCTGCCAGTGCCTTCTCCAATTCTGCTTACTGAGGGAAGGAAAGGGGCCCAGGATGGGGGTTGGGGGAGGAATCATGGGAGGGAATAGGAAAGTGGGTTTGGAAAATGGTGAGTGGTTCCGTTTCTTTTTTCTTTCTTTCTTTTTTTTTCTTTCTTTTTTTTTTTTTTTTTAGACAGGGTTTCTCTGTGTAGCTTTGGAGCCTATCCTGGCACTCGCTCTGGAGACCAGGCTGGCCTCGAACTCATAGAGATCCACCTGCCTCTGCCTCCCGAGTGCTGGGATTAAAGGCGTGCGCCACCAATGCCCGGCAAGTGGTTCCGTTTCTACAAAGCACAAGATTCCTACTAGGGAAGGAGGGGCAGGACTGGAAGGGTATTAGCATAGTTTATGGAAGGACCTTGAATTTTGCACTAAAAACAAAGAAGCTCTTTGGGAGTCACAGGAGAGTCATTGTCTTATTGCAAACAGACAGAGTCCCTTATATGCCTCTGGAAAATCATTCTTGATGCTATGTTCAAGATGGCCTTGGAGAGGATAGGCTCGGGAGGTGGCAAGTTGCTGGATACAGGTTCATTACAACAGCCAAAGTCAAGCAAGCCTGAGCCTGAGTGGTGGCTATAAAATGGGCTGAAATGGAGTAAGGAGGACATGTTACTCAACATTGATTTTATCATATCCCACCTTTCTGTAACATCATGTGGAAGCATCTTTGTTTTATTACTTTACCAAACTTGGGCTCTTGTGTAAGCCCGTTATTATCTGATTCTATTCTGTCTGCCCAGCTGATTTTCCAGTAGATGGTAAACTCTTTGGAGCCAGGGACCACACCTTGGAGCCCTTACCACAGCATAGATGAATACTAAATAGTTGCTGATTAATTGGCCCAGAGTCAAAAAGCTCTGAGACCTTATTCTCTCTCTGGGAGTTGGAAATTGGAATTTTTCCAATTTCCCTGGGACTTATGGAGAAACAATTGTCCTTTAGTTCTAAGCTAAGATTTAAAGATTTATACTAACACTTCTACATATTCTAAGCAAACTTTATCAAACATAATGGTATTGGTGTTAACATCTTTTGGCTTATGGTTTGGAAGGAAGTGAAACAGAATATAGGTGAAGTCTTGATATGGGGTTAGGGGAAGAATATGTTAAAATTATAGTGGGGGGAGGCAAGGTCATTTTATATGTAAAAGAGTTGGCTGAATAAGCCTGGTGACCTAAGTTTACTAACTAAGACCCACAGTGAGAGAACAGAACCTGAAAATTGTCTTTTGGCCTTCACCACACACCACACATGCCACGGAAGCACGCATCTCCATCTACACACACACACACACACACACACACTCACACATCAATAAAATAAAGATTTCATTGTTAAAATTCTAGCAAGCAGCAGTTTCTTAGGATGTTTGATAGGTAATCTGTACTCCTGTTTTGTCTGGTCCAGCCAGTTTATCTGGTCCGTGCTTGAAAGGAGTGTGGATTGAGGAAAGAAATTGTTAAGAAACAGAAGATAGAGTCAGAAGGGCATCCAGTAAATACTGTGATCAGCCCTAAATTTATTGCTCAAATTTCTTATATACCCAATCAAAAGGGGGGAGGCAAAAGACTTCCTTACCAAGATAACAAAGAAGCAAGCAAGCTCAATTACCAAAACATCAAGTAACCACACCCTAAACCAAATATTCTGTTGTCAAGGCAAGACACACAGTGGCCACACCTTAGGCCGAAATATCCTGTTGTCTAGGCAAGATGTATAGCAGCTACACCTTAGGCCAAGCTTACTGTGGTTTAAACTTGAAGGAGCAACAATAGACTTGAACTCTCTGACCTTGTGTCAGGATGGGAAGGAGTCATTTCTATGGGCTTCTACACTGTTGTAAGAGTGATTCTGACTGATAGTTCTAATGTGTACTTAGTAAACCAATCCTAGAGTGTCTCCATAACTGTTCTTTGGGAAGCCGTGTGATGGGGAATGTCTTTCCGTATATGTTTCTCTTATTGGTTGATGAATAAAACATCGATTGGTCAGTAAACAGGAAGTATAGGTGGGACTACAAGACGAGGAGAATTCGGGGGAGAGAAAATGGAGAGAAGCCACGGGAGAGATGCCACGTAGCTAATGAAAGAGTAACATTGTGGAGCATTCTCTGGTAAGCCAAAACTACATGGAGATACACAATTTGATAGAAATTGAAGCCTGAGTCATCGTCCAAACGTTTTATAATTGCTGTAAGTCTCTGTGTGTTTATTTGGGGCTAAACGGCTGTGGGACCCGATTGTGGGTGGGGAGGTGAAAGGTTCAGGCTTTGATGCTGATCATCTCTATCTCCTTAAGAGACAGACCCCGCCCCCTGACAACAGTCGGGGCATGCGCAAGAAAACATGCTACATGTCACCCATCAACCCACGAGGACTCTGGGCGTGCTTGGAACCTCAGTGCACACGCGCAGTCTTCCCTTTAAAAGCTCCAACTTTCCTGCTTCTCTCTCTCTCTGCTTCCTCTCTACTCTCTCTGTTTCTTCTTGGCTCTCTCTCACCTACACGCTCTCTCTGCCTTTCTATGGCGACCCCTGTTCCTCTTCTCTCTTAGTCTCCCTACTCTGCCG